CCTCCTTATTTCATTGAGAATTGAAAATTTCAATCAATTCATGGTTGCTGTGCCCAGTGTGAAAAATGTATATTTTATGATTGGTTTTTCACATATATTAAAATGAATATTATATGTGTTATATTAGAAAGTTATGCTGTATCAATTTTTTTAAGTAGCTTGTTAAATATCGTTTTAGGTTATAACATAATGTTAAAAATAGAAATTATGCTATGTAAGATACTTATATTAAAGAGAGGAACGAGGTACTCTCACTGAGATAGCAGCCACAGGACACCTGAATCCTTCAGAGAAAAATAATTTATTGCTCCCTTATCAGAAAAAATTAACTTTTTCCTGCCTTGCTCAGCCCTGGAGATGCCGTTAGGATTCAGAGGAAGAAGTTGACAGTGACCAGACAGAATCCTTTGTTTGAATGGAATTTATGCATCATGTATGAGGTGCATGAATATGCAAGAGGTTATTGCTTTTAAGGGTTAATCCTCTGTTAATGTGTGTCCTTTTTCAGGCTTATTTTGCCCAGAAAAAGGTACCCAGACTATCCTTAACTCTTTGTTTTGATTGTCTCAGATTGTCCTAATCCTAATAGTCCAAACCCTTATTATTCTACTTTTATTACTATTTTCATAACCATTTTATTACTATTAAACTTTAAAAATTTTAAAAACAAGTGATTGGCGTTTTTCACAATGGGCTTCCCCTGATTCTTACCCATAGGCACTCCACCTTATCGAGGGTCCGAGGCCAGCTTGGACAGGGCTTGGAGCCCCCCGGGATGGCCAAAGTTGTCCCTGCCCGTGCAGGGGTGGGATGAGATGAGCTCTCAGGTCCCTTTTCACTCCAGCCATTCCATCAGTTGACGATTCAGTGACATTCAGGAGGTGCAGACACAGGATCACCTTCCTTGCAGGGCTGGAATCCATCCCTCACCTTCAGGTACCTCGATTCCCACAGCAGGATTCCTGCAGTGCTCCTGCAGCCCTGGGGCTGTCACCAGGAGGGTGGGAGCATTCCCGACAGGGTGGGAGCTGTTCTTGGAAGGTGGGAGCATTCCCGAGAGGGTGGGAGATGTCCTGGGAAAGTGGGAGCATTCCCGACAGGGTGGGAGCATTCCCGAGAGGGTGGGAGCAGCCTCAGGAAGGTGGGAGCAGCCCCGGGAAGGTGGGAGCAGCCTCAGGAAGGTGGGAGCAGCCCGCGCCGCCGGCAGCCGGTGCGCTGCCGAAACCTATTGTCGGTGTCAATCCCTTAATTCCATTACACCTACCGCAGCAATCCGCTTAGGGGAAGCTATGGAGAGGCTGAGGAAGGAGGAGGCATCGCTTAAATACACCTTGGTTTATCCCTGGGGGGGAAGTGCGTGGCCCAGGGTACGGGAGAGGCTGCAGGGCTCTTGGGCTCTGCTCAGGGCTGGCTGAGTCGTTAAATTAGAAATACACTTAGCAAAGATCATGTAGTGTGATTAGAGCTTGACAAGAAAATCAGTCGATACCAGCCGGGGATAACTGAAATAAAGTCGGGAATGACACGGAATATATGAAGTATTCCAAGAGTGCAGGGGCATAAATACCACTGGCTTCTAGGAATGAGAGGAGGTTTGGAGTGTGAGCAGCAAGTCAAGGAGCCCTGCCAGCTTGACAGGGGTGAAGAGTTTACCATGAAGAAGACATCTTACCTCCTCCCCAGAAGCCCACCGACCCAATTAAAGAGGACAACTGTGCAGCCATAATGGATATTCAGCTGATTATAATACGAAGAATAATGATTATGTATTATGCATCCTTAGAAACCCCTTGGATATGTAAAACCTTTTTTGTATGAATAGAGAGCAGGAGTCTGCAACTCCTCACACATGGCTTTGGAAAGGATTCCACGTGTGTCCGGTGCTGTAATAAATACAGAAGTTTATTACTTCTTTTATTACTAATAATACTATTAATAAATAAATAATAATAATAGAATTTATCACTATTTATTACTGTTTATTTATTACTTCTTTTCAGCTTTAATTAGCTGAAGAGTCGTCTGTCCGTGCTTCAGTGGCCACCAGCCTGCAGCCTCCTCCACTGCTCTGGGACAGCTTCACCCACACCCTGTCACTGCTGTCACCTGTGTCACTCGTGCTGCTCCCCACATCCTGCAGATGTGCTCCAAGGGCTGGAGCACTTCTAGAGCCAGGCTGGGAGAGCTGGGGGGGCTCACCTGGAGAGGAGAAGGATCCAGGGAGAGCTCAGAGCCCCTGGCAGGGCCTGAAGGGGCTCCAGGAGAGCTGCAGAGGGATTGGGGACAAGGCCTGCAGGGACAGGAGCCAGGGAATGGCTCCCACTGCCAGAGGGCAGGGCTGGATGGGAGATTGGGAATTGGGAATTGTTCCCTGGCAGGGTGGGCAGGCCCTGGCACAGCTGGGGCTGCCCCTGCATCCCTGGCAGTGCCCAAGGCCAGGCAGGACAGGGCTTGGAGCAGCCTGGGACAGTGGAAGGTGTCCCCACCCATGGAATGAGATGCTGTTGAGCATCCCTCTCCACCCAAATCACTCTGCCACTTGCTGAATCCATCTCTGCCCACTGCCCTCCAGCCCATTCCCTGCTCCACCTTTTCCTCTTCACCACGTTCAGCAGAAAGAAAAGACAAACACCAGTAAAAGGTGTGGAAAATTTTATTCTTTACTGAACTTTATTAGTTTTCTGTTTGGCTTAAACACAATAAATATTTCAGCAGTAGCATTGACCAGACTGGAATTCACACCCACTGCAGTACCTGAACCCCCAGACTCTGGACTCTGGGAAAGCCATTGGGGCCCCTGGGATCACAGCACCTCACTGTGGGCCACTGCCAGCACCAGTGTCCCCTTCAGCCCCAGGGACAGGAGCAGGGCCCTGTCCCTGCTGCCAGGGAGGGATGGGGACAGATTTTGAGGTCTCCAACCAGCTCTGACCAAACGGGCTCTGCAGGTGCTGTGGGCTGAGGAAATTGGCACCTTGGAGGGTGAGCAGGGAGTTCCCCCAAGAACTTCTGCTCCTGGGGCAGGGATGGCCCAGCCACTTCCTTGGAGACCAGCCTGGGGCTTCTCCAGCCAGGCCTGACCACACCTGGATGGGCCAGAGGATCTTTTCCACCAACAAGGAGGTGGTCCCACTCCCATTCCCACTGTCACCATGGAATCACTGGGGTTGGAAAAGCCCTCTGAGCCCACCCAGCCCAGCCATTCCCAGCACAGCCAAGGCCAAAGTGCTGTTCCATGTCCCCAGGTGCCACATCCTCATGGCTTTTAAATCCTTCCAAGGATGGGGACTCCACTCCTGCCCTGCACACTGTGCCAGGGGTGGACAGCCCTTTCCATGAAGGAATTGTTCCCAATATCCAACCAGAGCCTCCCCTGGCACAGCCTGAGGCCATTTCCCCTTGTCCTGTCCTTGTCCCACCAAGAGCAGCCTCTGTGTCACCTCAGCCACTGCTCTGACACAGCTCAGAGGTAGAGGTGGGCAAAACCAGGAGGAGCCAAGGCAGGTTTCCCAAAAGCATCTCTTCCCTAGGGACTTTCCAGCTCTGTCAGAAGCAGGCATGGATGTTCTCAGGGAAGAGTTCAGGGCCCTCACTGGAGCCCAGATCAAACCAGCTCTGACTCTCAGCTGCAGATCCTTGACAGGCCAGGAGGTGACACCAGGCCAGCTCTGTTTAAGGAGCTTAAAGATGTTCCCAGAGCCTCTGGAGCTCCCACTTCCAGTACGCTGCTCCTGGCTCTGGCAAAGCCTTGGGGCAGGGGGGTACAAGGAGAGGCAGCTGCCAAACCCCACCATGACCAACCAGAGGCTCCAGGAGAGCTGGACAGAGCCTGGAGGGACAGGACCCAGGGAATGGCTTCCCACTGCCAGAAGGCAGGGCTGGATGGGATATTGGGAATTGGGAATTGTTCCCTGGCAGGGTGGGCAGACCCTGGCACAGGGTGCCCAGAGCAGCTGGGGCTGCTCCTGGATCCCTTGGAATGGTCCCAGGCTTGGAGCAACCTATCCCTGGAAGAAGAGACAACACAGATCAGCTGTGGGGCACCAGGCAGGAGGAGCTGAGGAGCCAGGACCTGCCCTCTCCATGCCCAGGAGCACACCCCATGGGAAGGGCAGAGCCCAGCCAGTGACCACCAGCACGGAACATCCCCCTCAGGGGCTGTTACCCAGGGATAACATCCCCCTGTTACCCAGGAACACTTGAATTCTTAACACCTAAACCCATGGTGGCCAATAGAAGGGTTGGTTCTCAGCTGCCACACCGGGTTTGGTCTCTTTGTTTCTATTCCCCTCTCAGAATCCAGCAGCAGAAATCACTGGATTTCTAAGAGCCAAAGGAGAAGCCCCCTCCCCAGCAGTTGCCTGGGCTCTGCTCCATCCCTGTCCACACCAGGTACAAGCCAGCCCAAACCCCAGTGCTGATTTAAGGAGATTTTTTCTACTTTCAAGGTGCAGTAAATTAAGGCACCAAAGAGCCAGAACTCCCCCGAGATAAAGCCTGTGCAGAGGAAGCAGTTCCAGTTTTGGAGAGGGATGTTCTTCCTACACACCAAGATTAAGCTCAGACAACTCCTCCCAGCCTCAGCAGCATCCCAGTCCTCAGGGGCCAGTGATGCTCACGGGAAGAGACAGGACAAGGCAAGTTCCAGGTTTGGGAGCCCAGAGTTCAGCTGGAAGCCTGAGGGAACAGCTCAGTTCTTCCCTGCTTGGGCAAACACAAAACTAAGACAGAAAATCATCCAACATACACATTTTTCAGCGTTGCCAGCCCAGCTCTGCTATCTGAACAAGTTCCACAGGAAGCTGTGTCCCAGCTGAAGATTCCCTCTGATTCTTGTGCGAGCAGGACTTAAATTTATTTTATCTCCATAATTCTATTTCATTAAATAGCAGGAGTCAAAAACTCAGGTGCAGCCCTGAGTCATTTGTCATTTGTCCATGGAGGGTTGTTTGTTTCTTGTTTTTTGGGTTTTTTTTTTTTGCTGTACAACATCAGTAAAATGGATTGGAGGAAGCTACTTTATTAAATAAACTCCAAAACCCATCGGCCCCCTCTCCCAGCCCCGCCACAGCCGTAGGGACACGTGAGATCCAGAGCTTCCCACGAGGGATGGCAGCCCTGGGAAGGGCCCAGTTTGCTCCTCACAGGCTGTACCGTGACCAGAGGCTGACCAGGAGTGACCAAGACTGACCAAGGGCTGACCAGGGGCTGCCCAAGCAACCCGTGAACTCACGAGCTCAACCTCCGGGCTTCCAGTCTTGGCATGACAGTGATTCCAATTTCCAAAAGAAAATAGCAGTTACACGTTGAAGGCTTCCCAGAGCAGGAAAAGGCTTCCCCTGCAGAAGGAAATTGCTCTGACCAAGCTTGGTCAGATGCCCCACGTTGCACAACAATCAGTGTCTGAAGGAATTTGTTCCCATGGTAGTTCCACCTGCGCGATCGGCCGTGCTTGTTCTCTTCCGGATGCAGCCTTTCCAGAGCCTGGGTTTAAGCTACACTCTTCATTCAAGCACAGGTCTTCATTGAATCAAGCCAACAGGAAAGAAAATCAGCATTCGGTCTTCACCACCCCACTCGAAGTCAATTAAAAAAAAACAAATTAAAAAATAAAATCAACGCAAACACATCTGTGACAAGTGGACAGTAAACAAAGAGATGCCTGGACACACGCGGGTGCTGGGGACAAAGAGAGGGAGAGCTGAAAGGTTCCCACCCCTGGGAGCATCCTGAAGGTGCACACATGGCCAACAAGGGCCTTCAGGTGCTTTTCCCAGTGGTGGAATTGCAGTTGGGAAGGGCCAGGCTGTTCCTGGCTGTGGAAAAGGGGCTCAGGCAGCAGGAAAGGAGCCAGGGAGCCAAGCCATGACAGCAAATCCATGATGGTAGGAATGGGGAGAGCTTGGCTCTGTAGTCTCAGCCATCTTCCATGGCCCAGACCCCATTCCCAGACTGGGAACACACATGGACACACAGGAACATGTCAGGATGTGGTCCCAGGTACCACACAACATGCAGAAGCCACATTCCCACTCCTATGGGAAATTGAGCCCTGATTTTCCAAGCCCCCCATTTAGGATTGAACTACAAGCTTTGAGTGTCTTGTCTTTTTTCCCCCCCCCCAAAAAAAAAAAAAAAAATAAAGATAACAAAGGTGCTAGCAAGTGTTTGCCCAAAAGCAGGAAGGCAGGACAGAATGTGGGAGAACTGTCACCATCTGCTCCCAAAGTACCAGCCCAGCATGAGGGCTGTCCAGACAGCAGCACTGGGGACAGCCAGGAACTCTCCCCCACCACCAGGATGTCCCCCTGCCCTTGGAGGAATCAGCTGCGTTGGTTTTGGTGTCAGGCCAAGGTGCTTTGCTCAGGTAAAGCCTCTGCATCCCCAAGCAGCTTTCCCTGAGCAAGTGCCGGAGTCAGAGGCTTCTCTGGGAACATTCAGCTGGTCTAAGGTACAGTAACAGCGACCTGAAAGGCTCCTCCTCCTCCAGCTCCACCCAAAACCCGAAGCTTGCAGGGATGGAAGAGCAGCAGGAGCCGCCCCGGCCCGGCCCCGGCCCGGCTGCAGCGGATCCCGCGTGTCCTTGGCTCTGTCCAGAGAGGATAGTTTGATCTGTGGTGATGGCTGAAGTATTTACAGGTATTTGCAGCAGGTATTTACAGTCCTTCTGCAGCCCGCAGGCCGATTTTCTCCTCCTCTGCTCCCAGTCAGTCCGGAGTGGGCTTCCGTAGGGAGAAGGGCCGGATGTTGAAGTGCCTGCTCAGCTGGCTCACCTGGGGACAGGCAGACACGGGACTGGGTTATCCTGGATCCTGGGTGTTATCCTGGATCCTGGGGGGTTATCCCGGCTCCCAGGCATGAGCAGCAGAGCAGGCAGAGCTCCAGACCTGCTCCCTGTTCCCACCAGCCACTCTTCCCACCCCAGCCCTGCCCACAATCCGTGTCCTGCCCAGCCCCATCACTGTCCCCAGGCACTGGTTACACAGGGAACAGCTTGCTCCCTTCCCAAACTTCCCAAACAACATCTGGGAGCAGGCTCACCCTCTGTTCTTCCCTTCCACAGGGGCAGGAGTTGGGAATGCTGAGCCCAGGCCTGCAGGATTTTACCCTCCTCCTTCATTATTCTGTTTTAATTCATTTTATCATCTCAGATATCTATATAAAATATTCCCGAATCCATTCAAAGTGGGAGCTGGATAATTTACCTCCTGCAAAAGGAGGCTGAGTTTGACACAGTCAGGGCAGAGGCTTTAATCCTAATAATTCTTCCCGAATTCAGAGCAGTTTGGGATTATGCCCCAATCCCAAAGCCTTTAAAGGCTCTTCAGCTCAAAGTGAAGCTGGCACAGATGGGCCCCTGGGAAGGCAGAGGGAGGGAAAGAGGGAGCAGAGAGGAACAGGAATCACCCAGGAGGGGATGGGCAGGAGGATTACACCACCAGCTCAGCTCCATCTCCAACTGTGATTCCAAGACCAAATTTATTTAAGCTTCTTAGTAATTCAAATCCTTCTTGCCCAGAAGCCTCATTACACTAATTGGAAAGACAAGGCAACCTGGCTATTACTCCTTGGCTGTAATTACAGCTGGGACACAACTCCATAGGCTCTGGGGTGGAACTGGGGCTCCCAGGGGAAGGGGCTTCCCAAGGAGGGTGTCCCCACTTCAGCTGGGACATGTGGCCCCTTGTCCTCCTTCCTCAGCAGCTTCCCAGTGGGACTCTGGGCTTCTCCTGTTAACCAAAACTCAGGGAGCCAGGCAGGTTCCTTCCTTTCAAGGAGGAAACCAATCCCTGGATCTGTGCACAGATGGACAGGAGGAAGGGAGGCCCTGGAGCTGCTCTGTTCCCACTTCCCCCAGCAGCAAAATCCCCACTCCAGCCTGCCTCTCCCAGCACCTTGGAGACTCAGAGCCCCTGGCAGGGCCTGGAGGGGCTCCAGGAGAGCTGCAGAGGGACTGGGGACAAGGCCTGGAGGGACAGGACACAGGGAATGGCTCCCACTGCCAGAGGGCAGGGCTGGATGGGAGATTGGGAATTGGGAATTGTTCCCTGGCAGGGTGGGGAGGGGCTGGGATGGAATTCCCAGAGCAGCTGGGGCTGCCCCTGGATCCCTGGCAGTGCCCAAGGCCAGGTTGGACACTGGGGCTGGGAGCACCTGGGACAGTGGGAGGTGTCCCTGCCATGGCAGGGGTGGCACTGGGTGAGCTTTGAGGTTCCTCCCAACCCAAACTATTCCAGGATTTTGTGCTTGGTTTCCAACTCATCTGACACACCCCAGGGGAAGGACAGCCCCTTCCACATTCTGTGCAGTTCCTTTCAACCCCGTGCAACCTTCCCAAGCCTCTCACAAGGAATCCACCCCAAATCCCACAGGCTCACAGAACCATTCCCAGTGACATTCCCAGTTTCACAACGAGCACTCCCAGCCACAGCCCAGCCCAGGAGGTGTCACCTACCACGACCACTCCGTAGTGGATGTGTGCCAGGGTGAGGAAGGCTGTCAGCAGGTACAGCAGGAGCGTTTCACTGCCTGGAGCCAGCCCAGACACCACCAGGAGCAGCACGGCCGCGATGGGCAGCAGCATCCAGTTGAGGGGCTGGCACCGTGTGCTGCTCATCTGGCACACGATCAGCTGGCACTGAGGGGACAGGGACAGAGCTTGAGCCTGCTGTGGGCACTGGGAGCAACAGATGTTTGTCCCCAGAGCAGAGGGGATGGTCACTCGTGTGATTTGGCACATTGCCCACCCTGTGCTGGCACTGCTGGGGCACCTCCAGTGCTGGGGGCAGCTCTGGGCCCCTCCTGCCAGGAGAGACCTGGAGGGGCTGGAGTGTGTCCAGGGAAGAGGATGGATCTCCAGGAGAGGCTGAGGGAGCTCAGCCTGGAGAAAAGGAGGCTCAGGGGGGACCTTGTGGCTCTGCACAACTCCCTGACAGGAGGGGACAGCCAGGGGGGGTCGGGCTCTGCTCCCAGGGAACAGGGACAGGACAAGGGGAAATGGCCTCAGGCTGGGCCAGGGCAGGCTCAGGGTGGACACCAGGAGGAATTTCCCCATGGAAAGGGTTGTTAGACGTTGGAAAAGACCCAGGGCAGTGGTGGAGTCTTATCCCTGAAGGGATTTAAAAACCCCCTGGATGTGGCACCTGGAACAGGGGGGACCTTGGCAGTGCTGGGGGACAGTTGGACTCTGTGGTCTCACAGGGCTTTTCCAATCTTAACAATCCCATTCTACCACTATGCAGCTAAATTAAATTTTGACCAAAAAATGTAGTCCTCCCATTTAATTTTATCCCCAAAAGGAACTCCTTTCCCATCAGCTTTCACTTTGCTGCTCACAGCACACGTGAAAACTCAATTTAACCAATTCTCCAGTCCCTCAAGCATAAAGCAGAAGCTCTTACAGAGATGTTGGCAAAGGCTGTTCCAACCATGAAATAGAAGAGCCTGGGCTGGACCTCCAGGATGTCAGTGGGGGACAGGAAGATCCAGGTGGTGCAGAGCAGGAACAGCAACACGGGGGACACCAGGGGCAGCAGGATTTCGTACACAGAGTGGTGCTTCAAGGTGTTATTTTTATAGGCCCTGAAACACAAGCAAAGAAAGGAAAATACATGGAATGACTGAGAAATCCCTGGTGCTGCCTGCAGTAAGTACCTGAAGGGGCTCCAAGAGAGCTGCAGGGGGGACTGGAGTGATAAGACAAGGGGGGATGATTTCCCACTGCCAGAGGGCAGGGCTGGATGGGAGATTGGGAATTGGGAATTGTTCCCTGGCAGGGTGGGCAGGCCCTGGCACAGCTGGGGCTGCCCCTGGATCCCTGGCAGTGCCCAAGGCCAGGCTGGATGGAGCTTGAAGAACCCTGGGACAGTGGGAGCTGTCCCTGCCCATGGCAAGGGGTGGCACAGGATGAATCTTCCACCCCCTTCCCACCCAAACCCTGCTGGGATTCTACAAAACTCACTTGTAGAAGTTGTACAGGCTCATGGGCAGGGTCACAGTGAGGGCACAGGCTGGAAGAGAAAAGTGCCACGTTAGTGCCCCAGGGCAGAGGGGACACCCCATGCACCCCGAACAGGAGGCTCTGGCTGGGCTCTGCTTTAAATTCCCTGCACCAAAAATAGCTCCTGGTGCCCCAGGAATAGCTGAGCACATTTGGAAGTAGCTGCTCCCGAGTGTGGCCCAGGAGCTGTAATTAAAAGTTAAAGTCTGCTGTAAGCTGAAGACATTTCCATTTGAAAGGGCTGCATTAAGGAGCTCGGGTTTGTGCTTTAAACAGTGACAAAGCTTAATTATAATACAACTCTAATGAGACACGAGTGCACACTCCTCAAATGACATGGCTGGGCATAAGAGTTTTCACAAGAAAGGCAATTTGCTGTTTCTCTGGCTGTGTGCAGACATTTCCAGTGGCCACATTGCCAAAAAGTTGTCATTTAACTGGATAAATGATACAAAGCACCCAAATAACTGAAAAATCCTGACCTCAATCAGAACCACCAACACTATCCATGATATTCCAGGACAAATCCTTCCCTGTTTATCCAGCAGAAGGTGTGTGAACAGAGCTGGAAATATTCCTGCTTTAATAACCCAGCTCCTCTCCCTCGTGTGGGAACTGGGCTCAGTTTCTCATATAGAAAAAGCACATTCATTATTCATGTTAAGTCACACAGCTGTCAAAGGAAAGCTGGGAACATCTACCTGATAAAAGTGCAAGTACATTTAACACACCAATTAACTCAAAATTAAGCAATTACAAAGAACACCTGAAGGGACACAGAAAATAAACTGAGCAGAACTTGTGATTTAGGCAAATGGCATTGAACATCAGCTCAGCTCTACCCTTTGCAGTAGCTTATTTTGACTGACCACAGGAGAGCGAGGCTGGGCCTTTATTTCAATTTTATTATCATTATAATGATGTAATGTTCAGGTGGGAGGATGGAGGGCAGGGTCCCCAAACAGCAGAGCTCCCACCCACCTCCATGGCTGCAACCTCCCTCCCACGCAGTGTTTGGGCTCTGGGATGAGAGGGAGCCCCAGAGCAACAAAACAGAAGTGTCCTGACCCCTCCAAACCAGCCCAAGGTTGGGGAGGCTCCACTGAGAGCCAGGTCCCACCACCCCCTGCACACTGGGCTTTATCCCCTGGAAACTCTGGGTTTACCACACTGGTTTTACCCCCAGGCTCTCACTGAGGACAAACTAAGCTTGTCTGGAGTGAAGTCAACCCAGGCAGAGCAGAGTTAAGGTCTCCAAAATAACTCTGCAGGAGACAACCCTGTTTTGAAATCCTGGGAAAGGTTTCCAGGCTGTGAGAACACCCTCAATTAGTCACTTCAACAACAGCCCGGGGCAGCAAAAAGAGCAGTGTTAGCAGGTCATTAGCAGGGGGTTTGGGAAAAAGGTGAAGTTTAAAAGACAAGCTTCAACATGGAGTTTCTTACCAATAATCATTGCAGTGAATAGGTCTCTATATAAGAAATTAAACAGGAAAGGTGCATACCAGGCCTCAACTCCCACAAAGGCTGTCACTATGTAGACAATTGAAATGGTCTGAAAGAAAGCACAGGACAAGCAGGGGTGAGAAATGAGATGGGCAAGTCTGGCAGCACCTGGCCGGCAGCACCTGGGCTGGCAGCACCACACATGTGCCAGGCTGCTCCAGGGAAAGGCAGCTCTAAGCTACGTTCAGTCCTACCCACCGGCAGGAAAGAGAAAAATAAAAGAAATCCACAAATATCCCACGTTACCAGGTGTAGGAAGGGCGAGCTGCTGAGCAGGGATTGGATTGGGAAGTGCTGGCACTGCTGGGGCACCTCCAGTGCTGGGGGCAGCTCTCTGGATGGGAGTTGGAGCAACCTGGTGTCGGATTAGGCATGTTTACATAGGCGTGTTTTGTTTGTTTACAAACAAATGCATACTATGTGAACCTTCTGTTCTTTAAGAATTCTCTCAAAAATTCACTTCCCACATTTGGGATAGCGGAAAGTGTCCTTGCCCACAGCAGGGGTAGAACCAGAGGATTTTGCAGGTCCTTTCCAACCCAAACCCTTCTGGGATTCTCTGATTATTTAGAGCAGACCCAAGACAGAGTTTCACAGTTCATCTCAAAGTCACTTGCAGTATTCTCCTTTTCCATCAGATGCTCTGGGACAACTTCCTTGTCTCCACATTGCAAAGCAGCTCCCAGGAACTGCTCCTGGCAAGAGCACAGAATCTTACACTTCCTGTGGGTTCAGGGAGAGGACAACACAACCACAGCACGAGTGGGTGACCCTGAAAACTCTTACCTAACGTGTAGGCCATGAAGTTGAGGAGCCCCACCACGATCCACACGCCGTTTGGAACGTGCTGGTGATCAGGAGCTGCAGGGATCAGACAGAGCAGAGTCAGGACAGTTCAGGATGTGCTTCCAGAGGATTTATTTTGGCCCAAAAAGCTCAGCCACGAGAACTCAAACAGTGAATCTGGGATGTGAGCTTTGCAGGATGTGATGGCAGAGCTGCCCCATAACAGCTCATGAAACCAGGTGGGTGAGGACTTTGCCTTTCAGGATATATTTGTCCTTTTCTCCCTGCCCTCCAAAATGATGGGATCTGAGAACTGGGGCCAGTTCTGTAGTGCCACTGCAGGCTGTGTGGAAGTGTGTGCAGAGGACACTCAGTCACTCGCTCACAGAGCATCAAGTGGAGCCTCTTTGATGTGGCAACTCCCTGCCCCCGCAGGAACATGCCAGGATTCCCCGCCCAGTCTCCAGTCCCATCCTGCCAATGGAAACCGAGCTCTTCCCTAACAGCACCTCCACCTCCTCCAGCAAGGCTCAGGCAGCGAGCCAGCAGAGCTGGCTGCACCTCACCCCATACCCACACTTGTGCATCAAGGCTTTGTTGAATTTCCTGGGATCACACCTTTCTCCTCTGATGGACAATGTTTTATTTTGTATCGTGAGAAAAATGGAATGAATGTGAACATGATCCAGATTCACACTACAATCCAAAATAAAAACTAATTTGGGACTTTCAGCATGCTGGTTAATACCCACACTGTGTTGGTTGTGGTAGAAGCAGAGTATAACAGTCCATTCTTCTTGTCCAGCACCTTTCTCCCCTGTTAATATTTACTTCCTAATGGATATCATGATAGGCTGCAATCAGGGAGGCCAAAGGGGCACTGGAGAAGGGCAGGAAGAGGCATGGATCCTTGGCAGTAGGAGGGCACAGGGAGGTCTCCTGGGGGAACAGTGATCCCGTGAAATGCCACCTCCTGTTTCCTCAGGGCAGCAGGATGGTGCCCTCCCAGCAGCAAAGGGAGGGAGGGCATCACATCTGCAAAGCCATCCATGGAGGAGAGAAGGCACAAAATTCTGGAGCAGCACCAGGAGAAGTTCTCTCTCCAAGCAGGACATGTAAAACATTTATGTGAAAGGGTCCCAAGCCATGAGCTTCTCCATCCTTCCAAAGCCAATTTTTGAGAGGCTGGGAGAGTTTGGGATGTCCTGCCTGGAGAACAGAAGGCTCCAGGGATCTCTTAGAGGCCTTTCCAGGGCCTAAAGAGCCTCCAGGAGAGCTGGAGAGGGTGGGACAAGGGCCTGGAGGGACAGGACAAGGGGGAATAAATTCCCACTGCCAGAGGGCAGGGATACATGAGACACTGGGGCTTGGAGCACCCTGGGATAGTGGAAGGTGTGGGACTGGCAGGAGGTGGGACTGGATGGGCTTTAAGGTCTCTTCAACCCAAACCATTCTGGGATTCCATGATTCTGGATGTCTGATGTCCTGGGGGTTTTGACCTTGAGCTACTGACAGCTTTTGTGCTCGTGGCTCATGGACCTTAACAGCCCAAACCCTGGCCAACAGCCACAGGTGCCACCCAAGGCTTCAACAGCTTTGACTTGTCTACCAGTAAAGGAAATCCCAAGAAACCAGGATTTTTGCCACATGACTGTGTTTTGATGATGGGTCCAGTTTAGAACTACAGAAACTCTCCTGAGCAACCTAAACCAGATCTGGCAGGGTCTAAGGGAGAGAAAAACACGGAGGAGAAGCTCCTGAGAATTATGACACTGCATTAATCCTTTCCCTGGGATTCCTCCAGGTGCAAAGGAACACGACTGAACCATTGGATTCACAGACAGATGAACATGGGGACTGTTAGAAAGTTGAAAGCTGTGAATGGTGAAGCTCAGAAAGAGGATTTGGCCTTGTTAGTTTGATGTGCTGGTGGTTTTGCCAAGAGGGCAACGAGCTGGGATGTGAAAAACAAGGCTCTACCTGCTGATTTCAGGGAAGCAGCACTTCCTAACATTTTCCTGTTAGATTTTCAAACAAGGGCGCTGGGTTGTTTGCTCTGCAGGCAGAGGCAATTCCAACCCAAGATTCCAGCTGTCTCCTCCTCCCTGTCCTGCCCACTGCCAGCCAGGAGCACCTTTCCCTGGCAGCCGGAGGGAAGGTGTCACATCCAGACAAATCCTTGTCACAAAACCCAGCAAGTTCAATCCCCTCCTCTGTCCCAGTCACTTTGGGAAGGCCCAGACCCAGAGGCCTCACCAATTCCCAGCAGAGGAGGTGACAGATTTCCCACCTGACCAGGAACATGCAGCCTTACCAGAAGCATAAAAGTCAGGGTCGAAGTATGCCATGAGGAAGAAGTTGAAGACAAGCAGCAGGAAGCCAGAAAACGTTATCAAATTTGGGGCCAGCCAGGTAGGGAAGATCTATGGGAAAGCAGCAAAAGAACAGATGAACTCATTAAAACATGGACTGAGGAGCAGGCACTGCTCCAGCCATGGTTGCACTGTCTGGGTGTTAGACAACACTGCCAGGAGCAGCCGGAGCATCCCGGGGCAGCAGGAAGCATGGGGCTGGGATGCAGGCATTCAGGATTTGGGGCAGGCTGCAGGCAGCCCCTCACTCATTAATAGCACCACAAACGAAGCAGCTGATGGTGTTACAGAGCTGACCTGGGCTGTGCTGTCCTGCTCAGGGTGGGACAGGGACTCACCTTCACGATGGCGTTCCAGAAGGGATGCATGACATACAGGGACAGGGGGTTGCTGTCCACGGCGCTGTACTGGGAAAGGGAAACAAAAACCAACAGTTAGGGCTGCAGAACCTCCCAGCAGCCTGCAGAAACAGCCAGACATCTGGAACCTTCTGAGCCACATCCTGTGTGGCACCCCCACAGGACTCCTGATGTAACCCCCACCCTTTGGAAATGCTACTCCAGCTCTCCGAGTGGACACAGGCAATGAGAAAAATGCTGATCCTTTCAACAGCTTCCAACTGTTCTGCCCCACCTGGATGAGGAGGAATGCTGTGAGTCTACCCCTCAACAGTGCCATCTGTCACCTCTGGAACTGCCAGCTCCAGCTCTCTGAGAGGACACAGGCAAGGAGCAAAATGCTGATCCTTTCAACAGCTTCCAACTGTTCTGCCCCACCTGGATGAGGAGGAATGCTGTGGGTCCTAGCCCCCAACAATGCCATCTGTCACCTCTGGAAATGCCAGCTCTCCGAGTGGACACAGGCAATGAGAAAAATGCTGATCCTTTCAACTGCTTCCAACTGTTCTGCCCCACCTGGATGAGGAGGAATGCTGTGGGTCCTACCCCCCAACAATGCCATCTGTCACCTCTGGAAATGCCAGCTCCAGCTCTCTGAGTGGACATAGGCAAGGAGCAAAATGCTGATCCTTTCAACTGCTTCCAACTGTTCTGCCCCACCTGGATGAGGAGGAATGCTGTGAGTCTACCCCTCAACAGTGCCATCTGTCACCTCTGGAAATGCCAGCTCTCCCAGTGGACACAGGCAAGGAGCAAAATGCTGATCCTTTCAACTGCTTCCAACTGTTCTGCCCCACCTGGATGAGGAGGAATGCTGTGGGTCCTAGCCCCTGCTCTGCTGTGACCCCTTTGTTCCCTTGCTGGTCCTAGTCTCCATCCTCACTTCCAGCAGTGGGACTGGGAGCCCCTTGAGCAGGATGGGTCTCAGAGGGCCCCTCGCCACTAAGGAGCAGGAGATTTCACCAGAGGCAGCTTTGGGAATGGGGAGGGAGAGCTCTTACCCCTCACCCATCACTTTCAAAACATTTGAGGTGCTCAGGGTGTGTTTGTGGTGGGGGAAATAAAAATAGAAATAAAAAATCAAAGATCTAGACAAGGCATGAAACAACTTCCAGATAGAAAGTTAAAATTTGACATCATTTGGCTCTCGAGAGCAGCATGAGCCATTATCTGCTCTCACAGCCCCTTCCAAACACAGATTACCCTGGCTAAAGTCCTCTTCTCCCAGGAACACTTTGATAAGAATCCAAGACCAATTCCACAGACTACCAAACTTCTGGGCTCACATGCTCAGTGCTGGACTGGGCAGAACCTGCTGCTCACCCACCTGCTTGGGACAGCACCCCCAACTCCAGCACACCCACCTGCCCGAGTCCAATCCCAACCACAGAATCCCAAGTAGTTTGTGTGGGAAAGGACCTTCCAGAAACTCCAGTGCCACTCCCTGCCATGGCAGGGAGACCTTCCACTGTCCCAGGCTGCTCCCAGCCCCATCCAGCCTGGCCTTGGGCACTGCCAGGGATCCAGGGGCAGCCCCAGCTGCTCTGGGCACCCTGTGCCAGGGCCTTGTCCCCTCACAGCCAAGAATTCCTTCCCAATATCCCACCCAAACCCCCTTTGAAGCCATTCCCTGGGTCCCTCTGCAGCTCTCCTGGAGCCCCTTCAGGCCCTGCTAGGGGCTCTGAGCTCTCCCTGGATCCTTCCCCTCTCCAGGTGAGCACTCCCAGCCTGGCTTCAGAGCAGAGGGAGCCCAGCCCTTGGAGCAGCTCCATGGCCTCCTCTGGATTCATTCCAACAGGTACCACATTTGGTTTGGTCGGTAAAAGGAAACCCCTCAGCAAAGAGCAGCTCCAGATGTGTCCCCCAGCCCATGGCCTTGAACCAGCCCCTGTCACTGCACCCATGGATTGCTCCAACCTGTTCCTCTCCTTGTCTGCATTCCCCACTTTTCCCTGGAAGCAGAGAAGTGGTGGGAAAGGGCAAAGCAACACCCTCCAAGACAGGCACCGGGACCAAGAAGGGATGAAGGACCAAGATGGGTCTTGCTGGGGTCCCATCTTACAGCATTTGCTCCCATCTGGGTGAATCCCATCCTTGGCAAGGATTTCTGTAGTCCCTCCCAGCCCTTCCCTGTGCAGGGTCAGTCCATCTCCCTGGATTCAGCCCCAGAGGTTGTGTCCCCACAGGAGCAGCAGAGCAAGAAGCAACAAACCCCAAAGCCGTATGGAAGCAACTCTAAGCCGCAAGGAATTTCCATCTCAGCTTAATGCAATTTTTTGGGGCAGAATTCCAAATGCTTTACAAGATAATAGGATTTGAAGCACCAGTTAGGGGAGGAGGAGAGACTGATTTAATCTCATTATCCCCAAAACAGCCTGCAACAAGAAAACAGATGCAAGGCTTGGAGTGAGGCAGGGGAAGAGCTCCAGAGCCTCCGTGCCCGTGCTTGGAAGGTACCTCAGGGAAATTTCACCAGGCCCTCTCCTTGCAAGAACTGGGGATAATATTCAATAAACAGCTTTTCCCCATGACCACACATGTTCCCACGTTGCTTGCAGAACTCAAAGAGCTGGGAAGAGCTGTTTCTTGGAGAAAGGGCAGCTGCTCTGCAGAGGTTTGCTGATGCAACCATGGAGTCATGGAATATCCAGGGATGGAAAGGACCCACAGGGATGATGGAGTCTAACAGCTGCCCCTGCACAGACCCCCAACAATCCCACCCTGCACATCCCTGAGAGCATTGTCCAAATGTTCCTGGAGCTCTGGCAGCCTCGGGGCCGTGCCCATTCCCTGGGGAGCCTGGCAGTGCCCAGCACCCTATGGGGAAGAATCTTCCATAATATCCAACCTAAACCTCCCTGGCACAGCTCCAGCAGCTCCCTTGTGTCCTGTCCCTGTCACAGAGAGCAGAGATCAGAGCTGCCCCTCAGGAGGAAGTTGTTGACATCCATGAGCTCTCCTCTGAGTCTCTTCTCCAGCTGAACAAGCCAAGTGCCCTCAGCCACTCCCTGTGTGGCCCCTCCAGACCCTTTCCCACTGGGTCTGTGCCCCTCTGGATCTCTCCCACAGCTTTAGATCCTTTCTATGCCCCCCAGCTCCTGCCAGGCTCCAGCCAGGACACTTGTCTGTGTGCTGAGCGAGGCCAGCCATGCTGTGCCCACTCTGGGGACACCCTGGGGCACAGGGACAGAACCAGGGCTGGCTCTGGTGCCAGGTTGGCTGCCACCCTAGGGGACAGCACTCTGGACAGCCAGGACACGGCTGCCTGCCCGGGACAGCTGCTCCCAGAATACCAATGAGCTGCCAGGCACCTTCAGGGACAGATCCCATCTTGGCCATGCCCAGCCTCCTCCAGTTGCTTTTCCTTGTCGGGGTCTTCCTTACAAACATTACTAAAGTTGTTTTTTCCACCTCTTCACTTGTGAAGCCCCAAACCCAGCAGTGTATAAGCCTGGCACTGGTTTCATCATTCCCTCACCTCATCCTCACTGGAAATTAGTGTCACCCTCTGCATTTTGGATCTCCACACACTGGTCTCGTGACTCACACCCTGTATAAGTCGTTCTTCTATCACGACCAACAATTCCCACCAGCCTGGACTCTGGATTTCTGCCCCTTTTTCAGGGAAAGAAGGTTAAAGGAAAGGGAGAAGAGCCCAGAAGGAATTTCATCCATCCCAGTCTCCTTCCCAAAGCAGCCAGGCATTTGTAAAGGGCCCTGTTCTAAAATAGCTCCACGCTCACAGACACAGTTTCTCCTCACGGCTGCAGGGAGGAGCCAACCAGCCCAGACAGCTCCCTCGGGACTGGGGTCAGAACTCCTCAGAGAAAGAGCAAAACCAGCAGGAACAATCACTGGCAGCACACAGGAGCCTCCTGTCCATGCCAGGAGAGCTCCAGGGAGCCACAGGCACCCCAAGAGCTGGGGACAGGCTGGGTGGCTGTGGTGCCATCGCAGACGAGCTGGCTGGCATCATTATGGGCCATAATGGCTTGTATGGCTTCAACCCAACATTAATCCTGCAACCAGGACACCTCTGGGAGATCCAATTATGTGTCCAAAGAGGAAAAAAATACAGATTTATAGCCCAGATTCCACTAATGGTCTTCCTGTCCCGGAAAAAAACAATTCTGCTTTGAAGTAATCTGGTTACCCGGAGCCAGCAGCAGAACAAGCACTGCCATAGAACCCTGGAGAATCCTGAGTTGGGAGGCACCCACATGGGTCACCAGGTCCAGCTCCTGGCCCTGCAAAGGACATGCCAAGAATCCCACCATGTGCCTGCTGTGACTCACCCCATCACTGGGGTGAGCCAGCGGTGTTGGGGTGTGACACCCAGGTGGGCTGGGGCAGCACAGCACTGGTGGCACATGTGCTGAGGACAGCAAACAGAATGGATTTGCACATCCCATCTTGCTCCCAGGTGCTCCAGGCAGGATCAGGGCACTCAGCAGAGCAGCTCCATCAAGTCCAGCAAGGCTGCTCCCTACAAATCTCCTTAAATACAAAGAGGGCACAAGGCTAAGAACCTTCTCCCCTCAGGCTCAAGATAAGGCAGGAGGCAGAAAACTCAATCAATCCCAGCAAATGGAAGCGAGCAGAGCCGTGCCAGGCACGTTTGCCCTATGCCCACCCTTGGCCAGCGTGTGAGGAGTCACCTCGCCCTTTAATGGTACTGATTAACTCGAGCCCTGTTTGCCTTTTGCAAGGTCACTTCTCAGCTGGCACCAGAAGGGAGAGTGTTGGCAGTGCAGGGCTGCACCCACCACACGAGCCCATGGGTTTGGAAGTTGCAGGAAGGATGTGGGTGTCCTGGCTGTGTGCCCCAGCTGCAGCTTCAGCGTGTCCCTCATCCTGCCTGGGTTTCACTGTGCAGGGTTCAGACATCCAGCAATGAAAGATGCTCCAAGACACAGCATAAAGTCACAGAATCACTGAGGCTGGGAAAGCTCTCTCCAAACATCGAGTCGAACCATCCTCTGGCACTGCCAAGGCCACCACTGCCTGATGTCCCTTGGTGCCACATCCACAGGGCTTTTAAATCCCTCCAGGGATGGAGACTTCACCACTGCCCTGGGCAGCTGT